GGGAGGCCAGCTTGTAGATGCTGGGGCCTCTTTGAAAGGACCGAAACCATGCCGTGGCATGGCAATAGAAGTAATGACGCAAACGCTGCAGCGGGAGCACGTTTCGGAACGAGCGGAAGCGCGGTGAGGCCAGCGCTGCAGCGGGAGCACGGTTCGGAACGAGCCGTAGCCCGAAATTGAGGCCAGCGTTTCAGGGAGATCAGTATTTTGAACAGTTTATATATATATATATATATACATACACATAGATCAAGAAGCGCAGAAATGAGGTCGCGTCGCCTGACAAAGCATGGCGTGGCGACGCCCCCAAGTCAGGGGGGGGCGTCTGCGGCCCAGAAAACCAACGAATCGGCACCGAATGTGTGATCACTTCCGATGGTTTCTTCGGGATACATGTTCTAGATCTGGGGGCAGTTTGGAAGGATCGAAAACCATGCCGTGGCATGGCGCTGAAGCGATGCATGCCAAACCATGCCGTGGCATGGATCGAGACCAGCATTTCGAGCAACAACAAACGCGGAAGCGCGGAAATGGACGCGTCGCAGCCTGACATAGCATGGCGTGGCGACGCCCCAAAGTGGGGGAGGGGGGCTTCTGCGGCGCAACAAATTAACGAATTGACACCGAATGTGGAATCACTTCTGATGGTCTTTCGGGGTGCATGTTTTAGATTTGGGAGCCATTTGGAAGGATCGAAAACCATGCCGTGGCATGGCAATGGAAATATTGACGCCAGCGCTGCAGGGGAGCACGATTCGGAACGAGCGGAAGCGCGGAAATGAGGCCAGCGCTGCAGCGGGAACATGATTCGGAACGAGCGGTAGCCCGAAAATGAAGCCAGCGCCTCAGCGAGACCAGCATTTTGATCAAAAGCAAGCGAAAACCCGTTTCCCGGGAACCTTGTGTGTAAGAAACCAGTACGCGGAGGGGGGCCGGCCATTTCCTGGACGCCACCAAGGGAGAGAGGAGAGTCGTATTCATATTGTTTTATTGTCAAGGTCGCGCAGAGAGTTGTGTCGGCCTTCGAGTGGTTACAACATCCCACACATTGAGCGCGCATAAACGTGAGCGTCCAAGGCCAGCACTCCCTGGAAGCGGCAGGGGGGGTGAAAGGACGGCGGCGAGGAAGGCTGCAGAGGTACAGGAAGAAGAAACGGGGGCGCAAGAACCGCTGGGCGGTGAAAGAAGGAGTGGGGGGGGCTCCTCCTAGGTGCTCGTGGGGCGTTGAGGTTCCTCCTCGGTGCTCGTTTGGAGTTTGGACTTTCGCCTCGCTGCTCGTGGGGGGTTTGGGCTTCCTCCTCGGTGCTCGTTGGGCGGTGTGTTTCTTCGGCGCCCCTTGGGCGTCGAGGGCTCCTCCTCAGTGCCTGGATGGCGCTGGCGCGGACAAAGAATCACTGATGCGGCCCCCGAGCCTGTCGAGTTTCCCGCCTCTCTTATCAGAGGCTGGGGGGTGAGGACGAAGTGGTCCCGACGGAGAAATCGGTGTCGTGTTCGATTCGTGCCGTGCGTCTGGACGAGACAGAGCTGCATGAGGGCGATGATGTGCAGGCCAAGGCTAGACAAAGGCTGCGCTCCCGTCTCGCAGTGCCCCTGAAAGACGGAATTGTGTATCTCGTGGTTGACAGGAGGGTTGTCCCGCGCGTTGTTCGGTGCTTTGTCCCGTGCGTTGTCCCGTGATTGTCCCGTGCGTTGTCTTTTGGATGTCACGTGGGTGGTCCAATGGATTGTCCCGTGGCTGTCCCTTGGGTTGTCCAATGGGTTGTCCCGTGGGTTGTTGCCCCATGGTTGTCCTGAGGGATGTCCCGTTTTTGTCGATTGGGTTTTCCCCCGAGTTGTTTCGTGGTTGTGTCGCGGCGAATGCACATTGCAATTCAGCTGTCAAACCATCGAAGGTCAAGTCGGGAACCAGATGCACATGGACAGCGAAACACACATCCAACAATCACGCTTATTCTGGCCAAAACCCAAGTCTCATTGCAATTCGGAACGCGAGTATGGTTGCATAGCGAGATGCAGATCGAATTGAGATTCCAGGTACAGCGAAATGAACAGCGGAATGAACACAGTAACCGGACATCGGAATTCAGCCGACATGCCAGTTGCAATACAATTCAAAATGCACGTCGAAATTCACATCGGGTTGCACATCCGAATGCAAAGCGGTACGAACGTCAAAATGCGAATACAGTCGCAAACGAAATTCAATTCCAATACAGGCTACTTGTACATAGACATGTGTCGATATTCCCCAATGAGTGCTTGCACTGAAGGGGTCCGAGCGGAAGTTGAAGGATTTGGCGAAAGTTCCCCGCCGATTTTAGCGGCAGGCTGGGTTCCCGGGTTCCCGGTTCCGGGTTCCCGGGTTCCCGGTTCCGGGTTCCGGGCCGAGTTCGGAGGGCGGTGAGGTTCCCGGGTTACCGGGTTCTTGGTCGATCTTCTTATCGATCGGTCTCAGCATCGATCTCATTACCGACTTCTCGATCGATCTCACCATCGATCTCACAATTGATCTCACTATCAATATCACAAGCGATTTCATTAGAGATGGCGTGAGCGATCTCGCGATCGATCTCACGATCGATCTCATTGAATCGATGTCACTCTCGGTCTCACGATCGACCTTACAATCGTCCTCACGATCGATTACACTATCGATCTCATTATCGACCTCACAATCGATCTCAAGATCCATCGTATCAATTTTCAAATCATCCACTGATCGGGTTTTCTCAGGTGTAATGTATATCGAGATTTCAATTTGAACACACACACACAAACACGCAGACCAGCAATCGAAACGCGCATCAACTCGCAAATCCAAGTGCAAATACATCACATCCCTCCGCAACCGCCTGTTGACCCGAAGGGTGGCGTATGATACAGACATACAAGTGTGTAGACGTATTCATCGGATTATGCGTAGGGTTAACATGATCTTCTCATCATAATCCTCCTGCTCCTCCCCATTTCGGCCTCATCAGCTTCACCCTCGTGCTGGATCGATCATCCCTTTGTCCTCCGTCTTCTTCCCTGCCACATCATCCTCTTCCGCCTCCTCCGCCTTTACATCCGAGCTGTTGCTGCTGGAGTTCCTCCCGGGAGGGGCGCGAGCAAGGGCAAGGTCAAGCGCAAGTCAAGACAGAGTGGTTGCAGTAAGGCGCGCGCGCGCTGGCGACGAGATTGAGCGCCTGCCCCGGCGCCTGGAGACGCGAGGCGACCTGGCGGGCGTCGGCCAGCCTGCATCGTATCATGAGCCCCTTTGTTGACGGCCCCTCGCTTTGGCACTCCCGTTCGGCCCCATCGCTCGTCATTTGGGGCCCGTCAAGTCTTGAGATGCAGTCGTGCTTTCGGCCTGCCTCGGCTCGCTCGCTCGACGCCTCTGTGATGATCGTTTCTTCTTTCCCCCGGGCCCGCCTCGAAGGAGGCAGGGCCAATCCTCAGTCTTCCGGCCAGCGCCCGGCCGCAGATCTCCAGCTCCCGACACCACCTCAGCATTCCGACTTCCAGCTTCCAGTGCGCAGCTGCGAACAAGCTAGTGTGAGCCACAGTCCTGCAGGATCTGAGAGGCTACGGCCGCACGCGCCTTGCCCAAACGGGCACCGGCACACGTGCTTCGCCGCACGAGCCCACTGGCGCAGACTCGCGTGACTAATTCGCCATGTCTTTTCTTTCGCGCCGTGCGGATCCTCCATGCGGCGCGTGCGGGTTGGACCAGCCAGCTGCAACGAGAGCCGGTCCAGTCGCTCTCCGGGCGGCCGCCGCCACGCTCTAGCTTCTGGCTGGGTGTGGGTGGCGCGTTCTCGGGCTCGGGTCGCCCTCCCACCCTACTGCTCAGGGCGGCCTGCCATCCCGTGTTCGCGGCCGCTCGCGAGTGTCGCAGGGTTTGCACAGGCGCTTGGCGGCTATCCCATTCTCGGGGGGGGTGCGGCCGCGCGTTCACTTGCTGCTGCTGCTGCACAAATATTATCTTTCCTCCCTCCATTCCTTGTCCTTATGAATCACTTCTCCCTGTCGCACCCCGAGGCCAGTTGTTAGGGCGGGCTGGGCGTTTCGCTTGAGGTTTCCTCACCACTTATGACCCTGATCCGAAACAGTGAGAACAGCTTCACAGATGGAGGGCGGGTGGTTTTCAACATGTGGCGTTCGCCTTAGCGCTGAGCACACTCGTTTTAAACATTTGCAGAAGTTGAACGGAGTCGGGGCGGGTGGTTTGCAAAATGTGGCTCTCGCATGAGCGCCGCGCGCATTCGTATTAAAAAATCGCAAGAATTTCGCTGATTGAGGGCAGGTGGTTTTCAAAATGTGGCTGTCGCCTTAGCGCCGCGCGCATTCGTGCAAAAAAACTGCAAGAGCTTCACTGATTGAGAGTAGGTCGTTTTTCAACATGTGGCTCTCGCTTTAGCGCCGCGCACATTCGTTCATAAAATGTGGAAGGGTTTCACGGAATCCCAGGGTCAACGTACCAAAAGTTGCGTCTTGAAAAGATTGAAGATTATGCGGGTGCAACAGTTGTGTTGATTCGCGATGTTGAAGTCCCAACAATGGCGTTCTGTCACGGTTCCAGATCGTCAAGACGCAGCAGTCAGGTTGATCCGTTGCGTTGAAATCCCGGAAACAATGTTTTGGCATGCTTCAGGGTCTTCAAGGACGTCTTCCATTTAGGCAGTTCCTTCAATGAAAATTAACCGCTGTAGGGGCCTATGAAGAGGGAGGTTGGGGGGAGGGATAATTCAAACATCGTTGATGACTCTCTGGTTTACACTGGTCCCTCCTTCTCCTCCTCCTCCTCCTCCTTCTCCTCCTCCTCCTCCTTCTCCTCCTCATCGTTCTCCTCCCTCGCGCACGCCACACCCTCCTGATCTCCTCCTCCCGCTCTCCCTCGGCCCTCCTCCGCCGCCCTTCCCCGTCATGCCCCCGCCCCGCCCCCCTCCCCGCCGTCCTCCCCGCACCCGCCCTCCGCGGCCTCTTCCACCCTCCGCTCCCTCGCCCTCCTGCAGCAGGACGCCGGCGTGGAGCAGGCGGATGCCGCCGCCCGGGGTTTCCGCTTCCTCACCTTCTGGGGCCTCGAGGGCTACCACGTGTCCATCCCGCTCCGGAAGGCTTGCCGGATCCTTCGCCGTCGATCCGCGCCGACGTTCGTCGGCGGTGGAGGAGGACAGTATTCCAGGACAGTTGGAGGGAAGAGGAGAAGCAGGGATGATCGGGGATGGGAGGGGTTCTTCTCCTTCGAGGGAGAAAAGCCAGCAAAGCATACATGTTCGGAGGGGAGGTCCGCGCGGATTTCTTGGGTCGGCTCTGGGTCCCTACTGCGGCGCTTCCAGCGCCACCCCTGGCGAAGGACGAACCGACAACACACACCCATACCCATAGGGGGGTCGGAGAGGGCTATGGGTGCGTGTTGTCGGATGGGGGTCCCCGCTCGAACGGGAGCGTTCCCCAGGGTCAGACAAACCGCACCCACACCCATAGCCAGTCCTCCTCGCAAGGACCCCCCTGCTGGGTATGGGTGTGTGTTGTTCGTTCGTCATGTTTCGTATGCCGTCATGCGTTCCTCTAGGGGGCAATCTTCCTCCCGCGGGTGCCTTGTTGCAAACCGCGCGGAACGCACGCCGCATCCTCACAGGAGGAGAGGGAAGGGCACAGGGCCGCCCCATCTTGGCTGGCCCGGGGGGGGGGTCGGTCTGAGCTGGCGCCTCCACCCACCCCCCTCGCTCCTGCCCCCCTCGCCCCTGCCACCCCCCTCGCTCCTGCCCCCCTCGCTCCTGCCCCCCTCGCTCCTGCCCCCCGCAAGCCCAGGGGGGGTCGGCCTGAGCCGGCGCCCCCACAGTGCCGTTTTTGTGATACATGCTCCGCGTGCGGATCATGTGCTAGGATTTAGTATTCAAAACAACGATGAGCTCACGCATAACTATATTCATAAATTGACCATGGATTGAAACACCTATATGTTCAAAACTCCGATGGATTAAAATCTGCCCTGTACCCACCCCCCTCGCTCCTGCCCCATGCCTTGCTCGCCCTCCTCGCCCACACCGCCCTGCCGCACCCCGCGTGCCCCACCCTCCGACGCCCGCCTCCGACGGGTCCGCCGGCGCTCTCCCCGTGCCTGCCGGCTCGGCCACGGCTGCCCCGAGGTGCTTTTCTGCTCCGAGGCGCCTGTCAAGCAGCGGCGAAGCGTCCTGGCTCGCCTGTAGGCCCACCAAGCAATGTTCTAAGAACCGCTTGTGGTTGCCACGAGATGGTCTTAGACCAGTTCTGGCTAGGACTGTCTCGTTTTAACGCATCGGGCTTATGTTCTAAGAACACTGCTTGTGTCCTTAGAACAGCTTCGGGTTCTAAGAACATTTCGTGGTACAGTCGGGGCCCTGGAGAAGGAACCCTTTTCGTTGGGGAGGGGCTCGGTGTTCCTTGATTGTATCGCAGCTTGCCTTAGGTTGTTCCTTAGGTTTTCGATATGGAATCGAAGTTTAACTTATGGAAAAAAGGGGCCTCGTTCCTTATTTAGGGTTCCTTAGGTCAACGCCCCGACTGTATGACTATACGAATGCCGGGACGGTCGGTCCCTGCTCAAGCCTGGGGCTCGCACCCTCGGCCGCGCGCCCCTCTCCGAGGACGACACAACGCCATGCACAGAAACTTGTGGCGCTCCGCGCGGATCCGCGCGGACTTCTGGGACCTGCGCTGGGGCCCGCCTGGCGGCGCCTCCGGCGCCGCACCTGGGGCGCCCCGCGCGCCAGGGAGGGGGGGGGCCCAGCACAGATCCAAGAATCCCGCGCGGGCCGTCGAAAGTTTATGTTCGTGTGTTCTTGTTGTTCCTCTATCTCTGTGCCTCACGCGCGCGCCACCATGCGCGCCACACGCGCGCGCCGCCATGCGAGCGTGCCGAAATCCTTCCAACACCCGTGGCAGTCGAAGTCTGACATAATTGAGCTCTTCAAACATGTACGGAACGGAAAAACACACATACACACATGTTGCTCAACATCAAGTTGGCGAGGGTTCTTGGATTCCCGCGCGTGCTTCCTCACCATAACCCTCACCAGCGCAGCCGAAGTACGTCATTGTCGTCGAGACTCGCCGCCATTGCCGCCATCATTACTCGAGCACTTTCTTCATCGACACATGGGCGTCATCATCGGCGTTACCAACATCGGCGCTGCCATTGGCCTTGCCGTCGTCATCGGCGTCCTCGTCACCACCCGCGCTACTACCAACATCGTTCCCGCTGTTGACGACGTCATCATGATGTCGCGCCCGCCCGAGCCCCCGACCCGCATTGAAGTGCCCCCGCGCCAGCGCAGCCTTTGACGCTCGCTGGGATGTGCCCATCGGTAAGCGCCGTCGCGGCCGCATCGGTTGTGCCAAGCCAGGTGGCCGCTTTGCGCGCGAGCCTGCGCGCGACAGCGCGGCCGCAGAGATGAGCCAGCCATGGGCAAGCAGTCATCGCAGTCGCCGCCGCACGGGTCGACCTCGTCCCTGTCATCGTCGTCGTTGCCTGATGAGGTTCCGCCCGTCAAGTTCCTGGTGGGGGGGTGGGATGTTTGCACGGGCGTGGGAGTCTCTGACGCGCGGTGCAGTGGGGTGGGTTGCGCCATCTGGACTGCACCACATCGGCTGCACGCCTGGATTGCACCGCACGGGCTGCAAGACATCGGCGTTGCAGGGCCCACGTTCGCTCAGCTCTGCCTTCCTCCTGGGAGCAGCGCGCCCTCCTCCTCCTCCTCCTCCTCCTCCTCCTCCTCCTCCTCCTCCTCCTCCTCCTCCTCCTCCTCCTCCAGTGTTCAAACGCTGCTGCTTCCGACTGCCGCTGCTCCGCCATAACATTGCCAGCGTTTCCAATCGGCACTGCCGCTGCGGCGCTGGCCTCCCCTGCGGGCCGGCGCGTCGCCCCCGTCCTTCGTAACGGCCTTCCCGCCCCAGCGCGGGCCCTTTTTTCGGCATCCTCCTCCTGCTGCTGCTGCCCTCCTCCTCCTCCTCCTCCTCCTCCTCCTCTCCTCCTCCCCCTCCTCCTCCTCCTCCTCCTCATCTCCTCCCTCCTCCTCTCCTCCTTATCCGCCTCCGCCTCCGCCTCTGCCTCCTCCTCCTGCTGCTGTTGCCCTCCTCCTCCTCCTCCTCCTCCACCTCCGCCTCCGCCCCCCTCAGTTACGGTAGGTTCGCGCCGTGTCGATTGGCGGCAAGCCCCGCCGCCGGCGTTCACCTTTGAACGCCGCCGGCGACCCAGAATCGATCCATGCTGAACGATTTGGCGTTTCGGAAACGGCCGATCATTCAAGGTTGAACGATGCCCGTGGTGTCAGAAACCAACGCCAGGGTCAACACGACACGAACCCGCCTTCCCCTGGTCCTCCTGTGCCTGCCGTTCCTTCCGCTCCAGATCCTGCCGCTGCTCTTCGTTCCAGTCCGCCTCTTTCCTCGTCCTACTCCTCTCCCTCCTGCTCGTCCGCCTACTCCCCCAGAATACGCCAGCACATTCTTCTAGGATTGCACACAACTCGATGGGATCTTCCCCGGAACTCCAGATCCGCTACGACACGCATCGGCGGATAGAGAAAACGAGCAACAGGAAGGGATGGGGGGGAGAGGTAGGATGTCAGATGTGGCGCGAGCGCACATAGTTTGCCCCCTCCTCCTCCTCTTCCTCCTCCTCCTCCTCCTCATCCTTCGTTCCCCTTTCATCCTCCTCTTTCTCATTCCCCTTTCCCTCTCCTCCCTCAAGCTTCTCCCCCGCCGCCTCCTCTCCTCTCCAGCCCCTCTGGCGCGGTCCGGGGAGTGCCCTGGCACCACCCGCCCAGGCCTTCGACCGGGAGGGCGATTGCATTCTCGCGTGGAAGATGAACGGCGAGGCCTGTCCCCTTTCCCTTACCCCCCGACACCCCCCCCAGGCCCAACGCCTCCTCGCTGTGAGAAGAGCTTGCGAAGAGGACGGCTCTCGGCCACGCGCGGCATCCAGGGGCCCTCGTCCGGCTTTGGGACAGTCAGAGAGAAGATCCGGGATGACACAGAGGTCCCGGGGAGAGGGTTCTAGACGTAAGTCGGGCGTGTCCCTCTGCAGGGGAATATTCAAAAACAGTCACACAAGACAGTCAGGGGAAGATTGTTTAACCATTTGTAGGTGTTTTACATACTGTGGTGGTACGTTCCATCTGTCGACCAAAATCTGCCTGCAGGGGGACATGCCCGACCTGAGTCTGGACCTCCAGGGGCCCACGTCGTGAGAAAGTCGCGACCGTCGGAGTCCTGGGCCTGGCGGGACGAGACGGGACGAGAGGACTCAGAGACGGTTGGTCCGTCACCGCTCCGAGCCTCGGGAGGTCCGCTCTCCGGGCCCCCGGCCATCGGGGGCTCCTGCCCCGCTGCCCCGCTCTGGGCACCGACAGCCTCACGGTTCGGCTCCGCTCGAGAGGCCACGCAGAACGACGGGGATGGGTTGTTCGGGGCGCTGTTGCGTCACTGCGCTCGAATTGTTCGCGTCGCCCCGATGTCCCGCACCTTTATCAGCGAGGTATTCCTCCTCCCTTCGTCCTCGCCGTCCTCCTCTATCCCTCCCTCGGGGAAGATCAGGAGGAGGGAGGCGCAGACGCAGGAGGAGGAGGAGGAGGAGGAGGAGTAGGAAGAGGAGTAGGGGGCATCTTGGGAGCCTCTGGGGGCACCCTTGGGGCCTCCTGGGAGATTCCTGGGGACCTCTTGGAGGAGATTTGTGAATTTGAAGTCCAGGTGAAGACTCCTCGACAGTGAGGAGTGAGGCTTAGAGGATTGGGCAAAGGACACGAGGACACGCCCAGTGCATGCCCAGCGGCACGGTGGCGGACATGTGGGTTCCGTAGTGCGCATTGCGCATTCAATGTTAGAGAGCAGGTGCCAATGGTCTGCGAAAGATATTCAGGGCGCTCCCGGGGGTTGTGCACCTCGTGGGAGCCGCGTGCCATGATTGGGACACTATAGACTGCACCCGAAGCTTACACCACATAGATTGCACCACACAGCTTGCACCCGCACAGCTTGCACCACATAGTCTGCACCATTATGCTTGTTCCACATAGCTTGGACAACAGAGCTTGCACCACGCAGCTTGCACCACATAGTTTACATCACATTGCTCGCGCCACATAGATTGTACCGCATCGCCTACACCACTTAGTTTGCGTCACGTTGGTCATGGTTTGCACCACATAGCTTGCACCACAGAGCTTTGCACCACAGAGCTTGCACCACATGGCTTGCATCACATAGCTTGCACCACATAGCTTACGCCACATAGCTCGCACCGAGTAGCTTTCACCATACGGCCTACACCACATAGCTTGCACCAGGCAGCGTCTACCGCATAGCTCACACTCATCCAGTGCGCGATAGGCCACTACTTTGCAGGTCGACGTTGACGTACAATTGACTCATATTTGTGTTATCGTTTTCGGCTTTCTGACGATGTACTCAGGAATCGCGCCCATGCGGCTTGGAACATGTTTCAATGCACGCAGGGGTCGCGCCCTGGCATCTCAAGAATCGCGGTCTCGCCTACGAATTCCTCTCAAGCTACGACGGAATCGCTCTCTCGCCCAGCGACGACCCCAGCGCGTCACGCGCCGAAGCCAGCACCAGGCCAGCGGCGGTCGACGGTTTTTACAGTGCGATCTTCCCTTGTGATGTATTGCCTGCTCAGCTGCATCGGCCACAAAATCTGAGCATTCTGTGCCAGACATGCATGGCATGCCGAACTTGCGCAGGTCCTACCGCGAGACCACGGATTTCCTCTTCGCGTTCTGGTCCCGGGCTTCGTGGGGGCGAGGTCCGTGAAGTGGCTTGACCGAGTAATCTTGACGAAGGACCAGCGACCTTAGTCACAACCACCAGTCCAACTTCTCCAGACCTCCTAGATGAGGTCGGGGTAGTTGGGGTCGGAGGATGGCCGCACCGCCGATGCATCGCCGATGCGGCTCGGTGTGGAGCCCGATGTGCTTCACGTCGACGTCGCGCGTGCATCGCCGACGTCGACGATGCATCGCCGGTGCATCACCGAGTCATCGCCGATGCATCGCCGATGCGGCGCGAGCCTCCGGCCCCATCTACTCCGACCCCATCTAGGAAGCCTCTAACCTCCCCCTCCCTCTCCCCACTCTTTACCAGCCTGGAACATATCCCTATCCCTATGCTGGGCACCTCCTCATCACGATGCCAGTCTTAGGGGTTCCCTTATTTTTTGAGGGCGGATCCCTACGATTGTCATCGCCTTCTGGCGTGTCAATCTTAGGGATAGGGATACGTTCGAGAATGGTAAACTCTCCCCCAGACCCCCGGCGATTTGAAAACGTCGAGCCAGTGTTTCTCACAATTTGTCGTTTCTGGACCTGGAGCAGTCAAGAGCGGCGACGGAGGAAGGGCAGGCCTCCAGGAAAGCGTCGAGACACGCCGGGGCCAGCGACTTGGACATACAGATTCGTCGGGGGCATGGGCTTCCCCCTCGACCAAGGGGGGAAGAAGGGGAGGATATTTTCAGAGTCGGAGTGGTATAGCACAGTCAGCCCGCAAAGGAAGGATGAACGATTTGCCGAGGTTGCCTTTGCATCCTTCCCCTTCGGCCCCTCCTTGGCTGCTTTCGCCGGCCGCGCCCCGCTCGCGAAGTGTCCACATGGCCCTCCAGGGTCCTTGCGCCCTTGCCGTGCGTCCTCACTGTACGGGTTGACTGTGGTCAGGAGGTCGACCAGACGTAAGAGTGGCCCTTCGCCAGGGTGACCTTTGGTGCGGGCCCGCTGGGGTCCCCCGATCGCCGAACGCGATGCGATCGTAGCGTCTTGCGCGCTTGTGTTTGGGCCCCCGCGGCCCCCGGAGAGCCGCGCTCCAGAGGCCACTCTTGCCCAGGGTCACTCCTGCGGGTAGCCGAGGCGGGCCCCCGGAAGGACGAGGTCGAGGGCATGCACCAGACAGGGATAGCCTACAAGCAGCTAGGCCCGGCGCGTGCCCTCGGAATTCGGTGTTGGCTCGTTCTCTGCCCCTCACCTCTGCTCGTCGCCGGTGTTCGCTTCTGCTGCGCCCTCTCGTCCCATGGCTTCCCAGGCGGCCTCAATATATCCGAGCATCGTGCCAACCGTCTTCTCGCTCCACGGGTAGAATAATCCTGTGAGCCTGGACATGACATTCCCGAATGTTTGTCTCAGAGAGAGTGGGAGAGGGAAAGAGAGAGAGAGAGGGAGAGAGAGAGAGAGAGAGAGAAAGAGAGAGCGCGTGCGCGCAACATATGGCCAGGCAGGGTCCACCCTTCCATACTCCGCCTCCGTGCCGTCCTCTTCCTAACGACCTCACCGCATATGCAGTCCGATGTCGGGTTTCGAACTACCCACCCGCTTGTCCACAATGTTACCTGGAACCGTCGAGCGATATGCGTGTCCAGCAGCATGATCATATCGCTCTTTCCATAAATGGAAGACAGCGCGGTCGCGTGGTGTCTGCTCCCTCCCTTCCACCACGTTTTCTTTTTGTTATAAAAAACCTCCTCTTTTGTCGTGCCACTAGACTTGCCTGGACGTGCTCGTTGGCCTGCTGGTCGCTTCGCATGGTATCCACTCGCAGTCCATTCGCATCCCCCCCCCCTCCTCCTCCTCCTCCTCCTCCTCCTTCTCCTCCTCCTCCTCCTCCTCCTCCTCCTCCTTCTCCTCCTCCCCCCTCCTCCTCCCCCTCTTCCTCCTCCTCCTCCTCCTCCTCCCCCTCCTCCTCCTCCTCCTCCTCCTCCTCCTCCTCCCCCTCCTCCTCCTCCTCCTCCTCCCCTCCTCCCCCTCTTCCCCTCCCCCTCCCCCTCCTCCTCCTCCTCCTCCTCCTCCTCCTCCTCCTCCTCCTCCTCATCCTCCTCCTCATCCTCCTCCTCCTCCTCCTCCTCCTCCTCCTCCTCCTCCTCCTCCTCCTCCTCCTCCTCCTCCTCCTCCTCCTCCTCCTCCTCCTCCTCCTCTCTCACATGGGCTGGCCGCGAGGAGGGGACGCCGCCTCGCCCGCGGACCGCTCCTCCCCGCGGCGCTCTCTCTGCCCGAGAGCTCTTCGCCCTGGCGGGCCGCCCCGCCCGCGGCCCCCCCCGCCCACGGCCTTCGCTGCCGGCCTGCCTGCACGGAGCGAGGGCCGCGCCCGCCCTGCGCGCGCGTGGCTCCTCGCTCGAGCGCCGCGCACGGGCGGCGTCGGAAGCGGCCGCCCCGGCGGCACGGACGGAGGGCCTTCCCGGGCCCGCCTGTACTCAGGAGGGGGTTACGCTGCATCCTCGGGGGATGTGGAGCCCGATGTGCTTCACGTCGACGTCGCGCGTGCATCGCCGACGTCGACGATGCATCGCCGGTGCATCACCGAGTCATCGCCGATGCATCGCCGATGCGGCGCGAGCCTCCGGCCCCATCTACTCCGACCCCATCTAGGAAGCCTCTAACCTCCCCCTCCCTCTCCCCACTCTTTACCAGCCTGGAACATATCCCTATCCCTATGCTGGGCACCTCCTCATCACGATGCCAGTCTTAGGGATCCCCTTATCTTTTGAGGGCGCATCCTTGAGATTGGCATCGCCTTTTGGCGTGTCAACCTTAGGGGTAGGGATAGGTTCGAGGTTGGTAAACACAGACACCATGAATCGTCGACTCCCCGGAAAATATGGGGAAAGTATGGGAACCTCGCATGTCCCAAAAACTGGTGTCTTTTCTTGCGTCCGACGCATGCTTGGCGCGGACTCGACGCGGACTTGGCATGGCTTCGACTCGGATTCGACACGGATTCGACACGGATCCGACGAGTCCGACATGGATTCGACACGGACTCGACGCGGATAGGACAGCGACGGGACAGACAAGGTCCCCCGAGGATGCAACATAAGAAGGGAAAAAAAAGACACAGACACCATGAATCGTCGACTCCCAGGAGAAGATGGGGAAAGCATGGGAAGTGGGGGAGAAGACGGAAGCTCCGAAAGTATGGGGACCTTGTGGGGGGATCTTGGGAATTGTGTGTGTATGTGTTGGTGTATCCCTGGGCCCCTTTAGTGTTGGGTTCTTGTTTTAGATACCGCGCTGTTGGCCCCACCTCTCTTCCTCCCCTCCCCCTTCCTGCCTCCTCCTGCCTGCTCCCTGGGTGGCTGCGAACTGCGTCGCTGTCGCCACCTTCGGGGGCTCTAGGGAGGCACTCGGCGGCGACGATAGGGGCGAATAGCCCAGGGGGGAGCAACACATGTATCCAGGGGTGCCGATGATCTATGTCTTCGACAAGGCTCCCGGGCCGAATACGGGTAATGCCCGCCCCTGGGCTATTCGCCCTTATCGTCGCCGCCGATGCACGGCGGAGCAGCGGGGCACGCGGACCCAGACGGGACCTCGCCACCAGCTGCGCGTCTGGACGAGTGGTCATTCTCGAGGTGTGGTGATCGCCCCAGCGCTGCGCACATGGGTCTTGCTCGTGCAAGTCTGGTACGTTTCCAAAGCATGATTCCTGTTCAACGTATTGTTCTCGCCCTAGCAGGTTGCACTGGTGCAAGGCTGGTACGTTTTCGCAGTATGGTTCTCGCCCTAGCACCGTCCGCATTCGCCCCAAGAGTTGCCAGCTGGTTCATGGATGGAGCCCAGTACGTTTTCAGAATAAGGTTCTTGCTTGAGACACAGATTCGTAGCTGTTTGAAAAAGCGAACGCAAATTTTACACGGATGGATGTGGATAGTGGTTCCTTTTCAGAACGGGAGTTTCGCTTGAGTCTCCGTCATAGCTTGTGGCCAGAAGTTGGAGCCTGTGCCACAGCTACGCGGATGCATGGCGGCTCCGGTCGGCGGGGTTGTCGTTGGCATGTCCATGAATTTTGAAGCACCTTGCATCATATTCTTTCTAGATCGAAGCATGGACGGCAGCTACCTTCCACGCGGATCTCCCAGCTTCATTGAGGGCCCATAGGTCACTCGCGATTCGACGAGGCGCTCCCCGACGGAGAAGGACTTGTTGCACGGACTGGTGACGGGGAGGGGGGACTTGGGACGGAAGATTTTGTTGCAGCATCCTTGCTATATTTTGGGTTAACTCTAGTCCTCCTCATCCGAGTGCGATCCTTCATCATGCCGCTCTATATTATCTAAGTCTACTCGTGCTCCTCATCCTCCTCTTGCTGTCGTGCCGCTTAACCCTTTTATGCACACTCCACCTCCCAAAATCGGCAAGACCCTGGATAATGTGCGACAACGTCCAATGGCATCCGAACACCCATAGAACCTCCGAGACCTCGGATGGCCACCGCAAACGTCCGAGTGCCCATGGGAAGTGCCAAATTGTAAGAGAGTGTTCGAACACGTCCGATATGTTTGGAGGGTTCCCAGAAACTTGCGAGAGCCTCCGAAAACGTCCGGGAGCCCCAGAAGGACCCCCTATACCCGTCGAGACCCCAACCAGAAGTCCCCCTAAAATATTGTTCTTGGTAGTCTTTATCATCCGCTCTCTCTCCCTTGTCTTCATCCTCCACTCGAGAGTCGCCGTAGGGATACCAGAATGTTCGTTTTGCAGGATCACTGCCCACCGCGAGGATGCTGCAGCAAGCACGTCTGCAGAGTGTCCCAGCATCAAAGGGATGCCCAGGCTTACAAGTTAGGCGTAGCGCTGGGGGGGGAAAGGGGGGAGACATAATAATGTAACACAATACATTCTGGACCAAGTCTGTCAGAATTGGACACATTGCCATTGTGCAATCATTGAACAGATCAGCCAGCGTTGACTCCATATAGATTAGGCTACTCAAATCAAGGAATCAGAGGAATCAAGCATGCCTGGAATCCGCAACTCAGCAAGCAAGCAAGCGTGCAAGCAAGCGCGCCAGCCAGCGTACAAGCAAGCGCGCAAGCAAGCAAGCAAGCGTGCAAGCGCGCAAGTAAGCAAGCAAGCAGGCAGGCATAGGTATATGCATCGGCTTAGGCATAGGAGCTAGGGGGAGGCATAGGCATAGGATAGGCGTAGCCATAGGAATTATGAGGGGCATATTAAGTATGGAGGGGGGGCAACAGACTAATTAGTAGGATTTGAGTTCGGACTCTTAAAGGGCAAGCATAGTTGGAGAACGCTGGATACGTTGCAGCATCGCTTCCGCATAGAACGCTGCCGCTCAGCACGTTACTTCTGGACGTGGGTTCTACGGGCTTGCGCCACATCCGCCGACCTGTTGATTGTAGTTCGTGTCCCATGATCTGTCGGGTGCGTCCATGGAGCTTTTGGTGTGTTGCTTGGGTGCGTCTTGTTCCCAACCCTCCTGAGTTGGATTCTCGCTTTGAATAAAGCACTATGGTCTCCGGCCTTCTCATCCTGCCCGCCTCCCTTCTCCTCCCCTCTCCTGTCCGCCTGGTGGCCAGCGAAGTGTGAATATGGCATGCTTTGGGAGCTGCGATCTGCGAAACTGTCGCCAATTTCGAAGGCTGCTGGGGGACCAGCACAGTGGGCACCCGCCGCGGACTCAGACTTGACCTCGCCGTCCCTGGGGGGCTGTGATCTGCGAAAAGATTGCCATCTTGGAGGGCTGCTGGGGGGACCAGCATCGCGGGTACCCTCCGCGGACTCAGATTTGACCTCGCCATCCCTGGGGGGCTGCGGTTTGCGAAACGGTCGCAATTTTCGAGCGTTGCCGGGGGTCCAGCACTAAAGCCTCCTGCGTTGGGTTCTCGTTTTGGATAGAGCAGTACGGGCCCCGTCCTTTTCCTCCTTCCTCCTCCCCTCGCCTCCCTTCGCATCTCCCCCCCGTCCGCCTGGTGGCTTGCCTGTGGGGCCTGCGAAGTGTGAATATGGCATGCCTTGGGGGCTGCGATCTGCGAGACTGCCGCCACTTTCGAAGGCTGCTGCGGGGGGCCAGCATAGTGGGTACCCGCCGCGGGCTCCGATTTGACCTCGCCATCCTTGGGGGGCTGCGATCTGCGAAACCGTCGCCACTTTCGAAGGCTGCTGGGGGGACCAGCATAGCAGGTACCC